GGTTGGCTTGTGTGTATGGGAAGTGTGTATTATAGTGCTTTCACATTGATTTGCTTCCACTGCATTTTACCATTTCCAAAACTATGGCATTGGCACCAAGGATGTCCAAATATGGGGAAGGCATGCTGTACTGGGTTGAAACCAAAGTGGGCGGCTCTCACTCGATGCTTGGTTTGCTGCTGAGTTTATGATATAATACTGACTAAAGGTCTCAGGTTTTAACACTAGATGGGCTGGTATCTGAATACTGAATCTGGATGGTATAATACTAGGGTCCAACTTGTTGCGGTCTGGTGTTACGAACTATCTTCAGTACAATATATGTGCTGTGTTCTCCTCAATTCCTGTCCCCTTAGGAAAACCACCCGAGATATGTATGAAGAGATGTGGAATGACCAAGAGGAATGCGAAGAAGGAGACCTCCCAGACATGCCTGACTTTGATGGCCTAGTTCCTGATATCCCGATGGAAGATGGTGACTTGACTTGTTTGCTAGGTTTCTTATTGGAATGACTCTTACACCAATGATAGACAATGACAGCGATGTTTTTTCCAAACTTTCAAACTCCCCTGGTCTCTTCAATTTCTACTCCCTGTGCTTGAGGTGATGGCCATGACCCCAACATAGCTGCTGCTCAGATAGCAGCTGACGAGGCCCAGAAAGAAATTCTGAAGCTTCTCAACTTTCCGGAGATTGAGACTGTGGGGAAGGCACCAGCCATGGCGCCCAAAGTTTCCAAATGCTTGCAGAAAAGGATTGGGAAGTTGCAAGAGTTCATCAAGAAATTTGATGGTAACCTTTCCGACAACCAGAAGTTGAAACTTGCCTATGCCAAGAATATTATGGATACCATGTTGTTGCCGTATGTTAAAGTAATGGAATGTACTGGGTGAGTTGTGTCAACCCTTGGGATTACCAAATACCCTGGCCTGAAGGATCCTGAAAGGCCAACTCTTTTGAAACTTGGTTGGGGTTGTTGGTTCACCGTTTGTTTCTTTAACCTGCTTGGGTTTGTTAGCCCAGGATCCTGACAAAGCTGAAAAGTGCTGAGACTGAGCTCACGAAGATTGACAACGAAGTGAATGACACATACACCAAAGGGATTGGCGAAGGATTTTCCCCGGAGATTCTTGTTCGAAAATATTTTGGAATCGCATGGGGGGCTAAACACTCATGGAAATTAGAAAAATAGTCTTATCCACTGTGATTCCCCCAGCCAATGTGTCTTTGCTGCCCAGAAACACTGCATTCAGGATGCAAGCGGAGTTGAAAAGCCTCTTCGAGAAGGCAAAGAAGGAGCCATTACCTCAATCCAGGGAAATGGTTTCAAGCTGTTGAATCTAGGTTGGGTCAAATAGTTTTGACTTGTTGGAAGCCATGTTTGGGTATTGAACCACCTCTATATACTATATATATAGTATATATATATATATAAAGTAATATGTACATATAATATACACATACAGCATATTTATATAATATTAAAAATAAGATAATATATATATATTCTAAAATGGAATTTAATACAATATATTTAATATACACTGTATAATATATAATATGAAAAAAATACAGTACATATAATATATATAAAATGTAGAATATAAATTATAATTTATATATATATAAATATGTCATATATATACATGTATAAATGTTACATTATGTATATATATATATATATGTTTATCTATTATTATGTATATATATATAATATTTAAATATATCCCATCTATAAAATACATATTAAATATCATATATTATATATATTGTATATTTAATGTATTGGATATTGAATATTTATTTACAATATAATTCAATATATATAATTTAAAAATATAATGTATATATATATATATATATACGTTGATATAGTTTAATACATATATACAATATATATATATATATACATATATATGTATATATATATATTACTACTATTATACTATATATTTCTGGTGCCTACCAAGGGCTTGCGCTGGCGTTTGCTTGGAGAAGCGTGCCAAGTCTGGAGCTCAAGAAAAAACTTGTTGCATAGTTAAATAAATTTCCACCAGGGAATGTTGCAATAGAACAAATTTGCTGATCATATTTAGATTAGATTTGAAAACTTTCCATTCTCAGGATGGTGCAGCCGGCCGTGAAAGCGGCACCAAAAGCTGGTGCAAAGGCAAAAGCCCAAGTGAAAGCAAAGGCGGTTCCCAAAGCTGACCCCAAGAGACGCCCTGCTGAGCCCCCAATTGCTGCATCGGCCAAGAAACGGGCCAGGCAGTAAAGCTCCTCAGTGTAGATTTGGGAAATGATTTGCTCCAGCACTTGCTATCCACAGTGTGCTGTGCAAACGATGGGGTTTGCACTACTTCATACTTAGAGCTTTCGTTGATGCTGGATGCCAGAATCGAATCACCGCTGATGAAAAAAGTCTTTCAAATCAGGGGCTTCTGAAGTAGCCAGCAATTGTATTTTTATCTTGAACTATTTTCGAGCTACACCACCATCAGTTAGCATCCCTCAAAAGCCTGCATCCAAAACAGATGGATCATTACCAAACAGTTTTCATTCATAAACCAAACAACTTGCCAAATCTGGGTCATGCCAGGTGAACAACCTCGACCTGACCGACAGGAATTGAAACAGCACATGGCTGAATGCCTGGGGGACGGGGCTGGGACCTTAGGTGGGTTCGTGGAATTCTGCTTGGAGAAGAGTTAAAAAAAACAACATAAATTGCAATGGCTTATGATCTGAACTGTGTTTGTTTCACTCCTATCCCACAAACAATCCACCAAAAGAAATCATGGACCCAACATGGTCCAGCCCTTTTTCCTCAACTCCTGTTAGCCCGCATGCGGCTGCCAAGGTGCCAGCCGTGGATGTGAAGCGTGCCATTAAAGCTGGCTCGTTGGAACCCATCACTGGTGCCAAGAAACAACGGGTTGAGCCGGATGTACGGCAAGCAGACAATGCTGAGAGGGATTGTCACCGGATGTTTATCCGTATGGGCTTATCCCTTCCACTCCCAATCCAGGAAATTGTTCATGAAACAGAAACTGGTCCAATTGTATCACATTGTGTTCGTATGACTGACTACTGTGCTTACTTCTTGAAGAGGGCACCATTTCTACTTTGTGGTGGGACTGGAAAGGACATCGGCTATCGTTTGAAAACCTTTTGGGAAGCGTTTCGCTGCCACCATCCTGGACACGCAGTTTATGAGAAACATGCAAATGAGTTGGACAAAGTTATTCCTTACTGCTTTCATGGAGATGAAGGTAAAGGGCCAAAGCGTGCTACCTTCATGGATTTTTCGTTTGAAACACCCTTGGGACTGGATATGCTTGATGAAAGCTTTACCCCCTCTTCCTCGCAAGAGATTTCAAAGGATGCACGCTTTCTGGTTTCAGCTGGTGAGATTTGTGATGACATGGATCCCAGCCATGTCTGCTGCGCACGGAGCATGAACCACAATGCGAGTGGGCACAGCTACTTGAAACGCTACTTGCTTTTTGGCCTTCCGCATGCCTGGTACAAAGAAGGCAAACATCACATTTTGCACAAACACTTGGAGCTTGTGACTGAGGAGGCAACAAGTTTTTTTGAAAATGGCATCATGGTGGACAACCAAGTTTATTTCGGTGCCTTTGTGGGGTTGAAGGGAGACTTGAAGTTCCACAAGGAGGTGACTGTTGGGTTGACCCGGTGCTATGCGAACTTGGGGAAGAAAAATTTGCTGAAAATGTGTTCATTTTGCTGGGCAGGAAGTGCCAATTTTCCTTTTGAGGAGGTCTCTGAGTGTCCGGCCTGGACAAGCACCATGTACCGAGATCGGCCATGGACATCTGATCCATTTGTCGCAAAGATTCCGTTTGATTCATGCGCGCCAGAGTTCTCACTAAAACTAGACCCCTTTCACATCATGAAGGTCGGATTCAGCAGGGACGCTGTGGGAAGCATAATCTTGGCACTTTGCCGGCTCAACTACTTCGATTTTGATCCTGCTGAGTCACAAAACGTTGATGAACGATTGAAGCGAGCCTGTGGCGCATTCAAGCTCTGGTGCGCCGCAGAGCGGCGGTGCCCAGGTTTGCGATCCTTTTCACGATCGTTTTTTAACTGTAAGGCGGCAGCTCAAAGTCCATGGGCAAATGCAAAGGGAAGCGACGTGACACTGCTTCTTCAATGGCTTAACTTCCATGTGCCATGCATTTTGCAAACACGTGACTTGGAGGATCCGGAGCACAAACCTATTTTCAAAGTCATGCACCAGTTAACCAGTGACATCATCACCTTCCACAGGATTTGTCAGACACATGGCCTCTTTCTTGAGCGGTCTTGTGCACAGAGGCTGCACCAATTGATTCTCACAATTGCAAGATCTTATCATTGGCTAGCTCGAAAGATGTTGAGCCTGCGAATTGCGGGATTCAGTTTGAAACCCAAGTTTCATTGCTTAAAGCATGTGGCATACCAACTCAGAATGGAGATCTTGTCGGGCAAGCGTTTTTGCTTGTCCCCAATGGCTTACAATTGCGAGGGGAACGAGGACCACGTCGGTCGTGTCTGCAAGCTGGGGAGGAGTGTGTCAACTCGTACCATTTCCAGACGGGTTATTGAACGCTACTTTTTGAAGTCCAAAGCGCTCATCCGTAGGCATCAAACTTCGCTGAAGAAGAAAAAGGAGTGAAAACATGAAGTTGGGATTGTGAGATGATGAGAAATGATTTGAAGTGTTTGAACCAAAACTTTGGTGAATGAAACCGGATGAAACTGTTGTGTCCAGGTATGGTGGCAGCTTCTTGGGTAGATACAGTGACAACCCCAACAAAACAAAACATCACCCAGCTGACCCTAGGCAGATTCTTTGAAGCCTAGGCGTTTCGTTCTGAGCCTAGGCATTCTTCCTGGAAGTAGGCAGAAATAAATGCCTACGGGCGTCCTAGGCAGAATATTATGCCTAACGGATTTTGTAGGTATGGGTTTTGCGCCGCTTCCCAAACTTTCAGCTGGAAGCCGGGACCCACAGCGTCAGGTTGTCCCGTAGCAGCTGAAGCACTTCGCGCACCGCAGCCTGACCCCAACGGGTAGCTGAGCGCCAAACGATGCATCTGACTGTTGGAGTTACACAGGGTGAAACCAGTAGAAATTGGGGGCCCTTGGTGATTTAACTTGAAAAAAAGGCTGACTAAAAATGGGAGTATGATGGGGATAAAACCACCTATCATATTTTTTTGGGTGCGTCTGGAAATGGGTGGTATCCGAAGAATTGTTATCAAATAAGGAACATGATGATATAGTTTATAATATGGGATCCGGGGTCGCCGTATTTAAAGAAAAGACAATGCGGTAAACCCAATGTAAGATTGGGAATTTATTGTGGGTTGACCAATTAATATGGTTGGTTTTTAATGCATAATGGGCACATTGAATACCCTCTGGGCTGTGGAAACATCTAGTCATGGCATGGAAACAACGGACCGAGTTTTCCTACCTTCGCTCGCATATCAGCGGGAATTAAAAATTGAGCTGGATGCAGAAATCCGAACAATGCCAACATCGCGAGGGGCCCTCCTTAGGTTAGGCCTATTTATAGGTATTAATTATAGCAGGTGGTGGTATTTAAGCAAATGGTTCAAATTTCCAAAACTCTGGCTACATGATTTGGCCGATTCTTTCGCTTCTTTCCTTGGCAGAAAATCATCATTTTTTGATTTATGTTGGTGGATGTTGATGTTTCAGGAAGATTTATGAAATAACTAGTTTCCCAAACTCAAAAGATCCAGTACATACCATTTTTAACGGAAATATCTAACTTAACGTAGCCACAATCTCGGGACCATGACAATAGCGGGAACATCTATCTGCCTTGTCGAAGCCTTCCAGTTCCCAATCTTCTCCTTGAATGGTCGTGGCCCCGATCCAAGGAGGAAATTGGATTCGGGAATATCCCCGAAACAAAGGGTGAGGCCAAACAAACATCAAACACATGTAGGTAAATCACTATATGATTCTCCATGTGACAGGTACATACAGGTACAGTTTAAGTGACGCATACTTGTCAGACCTGTTCATACATCTTGAACTATACACGCTGCTACAAATATAATATGATAACATAGGTGCCATGCGTGCAAACAGAATACTGTATCAACGCATCAGGGCAACAAAAATACTAACGGCTATTTCAGGGTCATGGGCTGGCAATCCATGGGCATCTCCGGAGTGAGTCATCTGTTCTTACGAACATTTTGCATTGACTTCCAATGAAACCAGGGCAGGGAACACAGAATCCCCAAAAATTTGATCCTTGAAATTGATTCGATTGCCTCAATACTTCTTGGCATAGACACCCTGAATTTAAACAAGGAACCTGAAGCATGCGGCTCAACAAACTACTCTACTTACTAGTCGAAGGAAGTTTAGAAGTCAAACTTCCGACAATATGAACAAATGAAAAGCAGAGATGGGAAGAGTCAGAGAAGAGAAGAGAAAAGAAGAGAAGAAGAAAGAATATCAAAAAGAGAAAGTTTCCGAAGAAAGAAGATCCAGGTGCGCGAAAAGGTAGGAAAGGGTCGCGATCCATTGTGTTTTTTCCCAATGATTTGTGGCTCCGGAGGCTCCGGAGGGTCAAAAAGTAGGCTCGCTAAAGCCGCGGGTACGGAGACATCTGGGGAGATGAGAGATGAAAAATTGCACGCCGCTGTGGCACGAAGCACATTTGCAAGTCAAAAAGCTAAAAACACCTCACGTTTGGACCACTTTTGGAAGTTGAGATGTCAAAAAAAGTGCACACCATTGTGGCGCGAAGCACATTTCGAAGTCAACATGTGCAAAACACCTCATGTTCGGACCACTTTTGGAAGTTGAGATGTCGAAAAAGTGTACGCCGTTGTGGCGCGAAGCACATTTCGAAGTCAAAATGCACAAGACACACCATGTACGGACCACTTTTGGGCGCTCAGATCTCGTTTCGCGTGGCAGGCACAAGGGATTGCGCACCTTGTCAAAAGTGAGAAAAACGTGAGGGTTTTGCAGCATTTCCAAAACGATGGCAGGC